ACCTGGACCTTTTAACTTCAAAGCCCCTCTCATGATGACCGAAGCTAAAAGAGCTCCTTGAATAAGAGAGACAGAGAGAGAGAGAGAGAGAGAGAGAGAGAGAGAGACAGAGAGACAGAGAGAGAGAGAGAGAGAGAGAGAGAGAGACAGAGAGAGAGAGAGAGAGAGAGACAGAGAGAGAGAGAGAGAGAGAGAGACAGAGAGACAGAGAGAGAGAGAGACAGAGAGAGACAGAGAGAGACAGAGAGAGAGAGAGAGATTTAATCATCAGAGATTATAAAAATAAGAATTTTTTGTGAAACTGGAAGTGTTTTGATAAAATTGGAAAATACGATTTTCTTCCCTCAGCCGTCCTGCCAGCCATTGCCTAGTGCCGTGTCTATTCTCTCACCACCCCCAACTGATACAGAAGGGAAGTACTGGAAGGGAAGTGCATGGTTCCTTTAAATGATATGGAAGGACTGGGCAGCACAGTGGCTCATGCCTGTAATCCCAGCACTTCGAGTGGGCGGATCACCTGAGGTCAGGAGTTGGCCAGCTCGACCAACACGGTGAAACGCTGTCTCTACTAAAAATACAAAAATCAGCTGGGTGTGGTGGCTCACACCTGTGATCCCAGCTACTCAGGAAGCTGAGGCAGGAGAATGGCTTGAACCCAGGAGGCGGAAGTTGCAGTGAGCTGAGATTGTACCACTGCACTCCAGCCTGAGTGACAGAACTAGACTCCATCTCAAAAAACCAAATATATCAAATAAATATAAATAAATAAACTATGCGGAAGTGGCAAGGGAGGTGCCGGGTAGAGGAGGGCGTGACCCCTGGCTGGGGCTCTACCCCGGGCCTGTGTCCTGGACCTAGGTGAAGACAGGCATTTTTGTTTTCCTGCCCAAATGGTGCATTTCCCAAGACCACCATGGCTGCCATGCCCCCATCTTGTGCCTGTAAAAGCCGCGAGACCCTAGCAGGCAGACACGCAAGTGGCTGGACATGCAGGAGCACACTGACTGGCACCGGCAGGTGGCAGGCCACCGACGGGCAGAATGATGCAGAGTTTGCCTGGGGCAGTCAGAGAAGGGTTGGGCCACGGGGTGGCCCATCTCCAAGGGAAACCCGTCTCCCTTCTGGCTCCCCCACCTGCTGAGAGCTTCTTCCACTCAGTAGAACCTTGTGCTCATTGTCCAAGCCCATGTGTGATCCAGTTCTTCCAGTACACCAGGATCAGAGAGCCCTCTGTCCTTCTGATAAGGCAGGGGTCTAACTGAGCTGATCAACATGAGCAGCCTGCAGACTGCTAAACTATAAAAGCACCCTGTACCCCACGCCCACTGGGGCCGCAGCTGTAAACATTCACCCCAGACACTGCTGTGGGTTTGGAGCCCCACAACTTGCCCGTCTGTATGCTCCACTAGAGGTTTGAGCAGTGGGGCACTGAAGAAGGTAGTCACACCCTCATCACACGCCCTGCGAGGGGGACGAGGGAACCTTTCCTGTTTCATCACAGCAATGGAAAGAAGGCCTATGTTTCACTGCTCTTCACCACGTGGAGGTCCCTCGAATCCTCTTACTCTCACTGCTCTCCTCTGTGCCCTTTTCTCTCATTCTTGAGCACTGATCGGCTAATAAGCTGTCCCTCTCAAACAACACGCTCTATTTCCACTAGGCTTTTCTGCAGCCGTTGTCTCTTAGTTCAAAGATGTCACTGGAAGGTCAGATAGCTCTGAAGTGTGTTGCCTCAGTATGATGTGCATTTTGGTTAGCCTGCCATTCACGTTCTCAAGCAAGTCATTGTAAAATTGCTTGTCTCAGCCACATACGCCGGCCGGAATAATTGCACGTCCCTAGGGAGACGGTAGCTCCCTATCTTTTCCCACCGTCTTCTAGGAGAGTTCAGAGGAGAAGATGTATCTTATTTATTCACAAGGCTACTAAACTTATAAGTAGCCAACACTTTGTACAGAAAACACCCCAGATGTCTCCAAGTGAATCTTGGAAAGCGAGGATTTGGGAGGCTCCGTTTGATCCATGAACACTCATGATACTTTTGACTTTCTCTGACCCTCTAAATAATACAGCTGTGGTAGATAAGCCGGGCAGCCCTGGGAAAAGCTCTCAAGGTCTTCGTGTGAAGCTTTGAAAGTACTCGGGCAGCACGACTTCCTTTCCTACAGCCGTTGTGCTCCGGGGCTCTCCTGTTGATATCTGCCACTACAGACAAGTCGAGTTGCCTGGAAAAAATGTCAGGTTTCCTGGAAAAGAGGACCGGAGCAGCGTTCTCCATTGTGCTATCTTTCTAGGCACTGTTTGGTTTTTCTTCTACGATAACAGAACTTCAAGAGGAAAGGACAGTGAGAAACCGTGACTGAAGAATTACTCCGTGAACAGCTCAGGAGGACCCGCTACGATTTCACCCTCATTCAAAAAAGAGACATGATATTCCTTTCAGCTGCTACCCATAAAATATTTTTGGATGCGTGTACAATGTTCATGCTGTAATGGGTGCTCTACCCTGAAGGAATTATTAACACATCATGGGTGGCTTTTCACAATTCCCTTGGGCAGAGATTGGGGGATTGACTGCTCCATCCCACCATTTTCCACACCGAGAGGCTGTAGAAATACGTCAAAGCTCTTTCTCTAGTTAGGGCCTGTTGCTATAAATCTAGCATCAAAAGTATCACTATTTTCTAAACACTTTGCCAGGCAGCCTTTGGAGTACAACTTTCTGAAGTTTATAAAGCATAACTGAGACCCATGCCTAGCGAGCATGCTCTGAAGGTAGGTTTAACTCCCGAATGAGGGAAGCCGCAGGACGAAAGCAGGTTCTCAGGAAGACACGAGCAGATCTGATCAATGGGGACAAATGACAAGGAAGCTTCAAACTGCCTCTGCTAAAATTATCACTGAGGAGATTATGACAGTGAAAGAGATCAGACCTAATCGACCCTGTCTTGCTTCTAACTTTTAAGCTGTCCTTGTTTATTCCTGGGCAGAGGCTGAACTACTTTAGGAAGGAATTCATTCATGGTTTAACTCCAAAACAAAACGAAATTGATAACAGCCTTTCCCCGAAAAGATCCCCTTCTTGCCTGGGGACCAGTCTGCCTTTGCAGGACTAAAAAATTAGCTACAGGATTAGAAATTACAGTTTGGGGGTCATGCAGCCTCTTGCTCCCAGAGTTTGAACCTCCCCAAATTGCTCCTGTGGATAACATCACTGTTGTAAAACCTAAGATCAGTGGTTGAAACGTCTGGCAGACCCTGCACTTGATGGGTCAGCTGACACCACCCAGACCAGTCATCTGGCTCAACCATTTCTGGTATCCCACCCAGGAACAGGAGACAGCAAGAAAACCTCACTTCAACCCCTTATGATTCCATATCCAACCTGACCAATCAGCACTCCCCACTTCTCATGCCCCTACCTGCCAAATTATCTTAAAAAACTCTGATCCCCAAATGCTCAGGGAGACTGATTTGATTAATAATAGAACTCTGGTCTCCTGCACATCTGACTTTATATGAATTACTCTTTCTTCATTGCAAGTCCTCTGCCTCGAGAAATTAGCTCTGTTGAGGAAACAGCCAAGGTGAACCCATTGGGCAGTTACAAGCCTGCAGGTTAGAAACAAAACCGGCCATGCCCTGTGGATCAAAAATAATCAATTAATTCATAACGTTTGGGCTTAGTTATGAAGTTTCTACTGGAGAGAAAATTATGCAGTTTTCTACTAGACAGAAACAATTTGCAACTTACCCTTCCTCTACATTGTTTGACTGCCATGTCCATTCTAAGTATTAAATCAAACTTTAAATAATTCTTTCAGAGCTTCAGGCACACCTTAGATGGGGTTTAGGGCTTTAAGACATGAATCTCAGGAGGACATAATTCAGTCCACAGCAGGGGTGGGGTGCTCCAGGATTATATAGGTTCGTTGGATTATTAGACACTGTTTAGTGTGACTTTGAAAGAGGGCACAATGCTTTTTTTTTTTTTTTTTTTGCCTTATTTTTGTAAGTTGTGGGTATCCTTTTCTTAACACTTCTTTTCCGTCATTCTAAACAAGACAATTGTTGATGAAATGGGATTTTCTGGATGGAAAGTCTGTGTACTTTACTGAAACCTCTTTCTACAGTTCTCAGTCTTTCACGTGGGATTCCGTGACCTGACAGCTGAGCATCATTGGAGATTGGCTTCAGTGGTCCTCAATGTGCAGAACATAAACAGCGATTTCTGTCGTCACTCCATAGCATTTGTGGGGCCTTTTATACGGAGTGTGTAAAAGTATTTGCAGGTTTTGGTTTATCTGTCCCCACGTGACATACCTATAAACAGGTATTTTCATCCCAGCTACTTGTTGTAAATATTTAATAAGTAGGCTGATGGTTTGGAATTCTGTTTCTCTATTTGCATGAGTCAAATAATAGACCAAATTCCTTCAAAAAGAGGATACGTTAACATACCAAAAGAAACCGAAACAAGAGCCTTGAACCCGCGATGCCCCCCAGAAACACCTGCCAACAATGGGGCAGAGTGTCCAGCTGCCTGGCCAGTGTGTGCAGGGGCGGGGCCCTCCCTGTTCACAATGGCTTTGTGGCAGTTAAAATGCAAATGGAGGGGAGACTGAGAGCTCACCAACCTCTCACATCTCCGGTCTAAAAGGCGCCCTTTCAGTGCCTTCTGTTCAAATTGCAAATGGCCTTCCTTTGTCCCTGGAGACCTGGGAGACAGTTCTGAATAATTCTTCCCCAACAAATTGGCTTTCCTCTTCCCAGCCACGAAAGCATACTGGTTTTAAAAATACAAAAATTGTATTCAAGGGTCTTAAGGCAGGTGAAGGTTCACAGACACTATAAGGGCAGTTCCAGAGCCTTCACCTACGACGGTGAGGCCAGCAACACTACCCTCACTATTTTCCTGTACAGGCCTGAGATTCCCATTAATTTCTCTGCATCAGCTTTGTAAGCACGATTACCCAGAGATTCCCAAGAATTCAGTCATTTCCAAGAAATTGCCCAATGGGACAGAGGAGTGATGTCAAATGAGATGGACCATCTTAAAATCAAAACGTGGGTGGTTTTTGCTCATTGCTGAGGGCTTCATTTCCACTCTGAGGGGGTCTAAGAATGTCAGGAGACACACTGTATTCCAGGAGATACAATGTCAAGGCCCCTGCCGTACTTCATTATTGCCCAAGTCATAAGAATCATCCCCCAAACCCCTCCTATTTCTCCAAGGTTGGGTAACCCAGGGCTGGGTAAGCCTGTTAGGTCAGGTCACGGTGGCACATACAGAGGGGAACTCCGACAGACAGCCAGTGCCAGGGGACCAGCGGCACTGTGTGCCCATCACCACCCTCAGGGACTTCAACGGCCCTCTCCTGGTACCTTCTGAGATATGTACTGCTGAGCTTTGTGGCCAAGACCCTGCCACAAAATTCAGAAGGAGGTTGGCTTCAGTGGAAAAGTAGTCTGTGACTCAGAAGACATTTATTCAATGAGGTGCAAGCTGACAACTTGTTTCTTTGCTCTGGATGCTGGAATTAAACTCCTACCACACCGTATTCTTTTCTGATGACTGCTTCTTTGGAAATGGTACAGCTTGGATTTTCAGGGCAAGAAACTCATGTTTCTTGGCTCGCCGAACAAAATCACAAAAGACACAGACCTGGGGACCTGTCTGCAACCTAAAGTTGGTGTAGAAAGAAATAATTAGAAGAGAAAAGTGCTCTGTCAATGTGTAACCATCGAACTGATCCTAAGTGATCCTAAGCCCGTCCCCAGGCAGGAGAGATCACAAGACTTTTATTACTTATGCTCTCAGGGTAATGAGGCTTTGGTCCTGCTCAACCACAGCCTCCTGTGGTCAGGTCGAAGCCCTTGCCTCGTCTGCTTCTCACCTGCCACTCCCTCAGCAGCAGTCCTGCACTGGGTAGGGGAGTCGTACAGGATGGGCCGCTGTCTGGTCTTGCATTGTGTACACATCTTGCCAAGGTGGTGGCCTGCTTTCTGCTCTGGGTCTCATAAGTGTTCCATGAACTCACATCCATCAATCTCTGGGCATCAAGACTCAAGCAAGCCCCTCAGGTTGGCTGAGATTGGGGGACTGACCTCATGTCACCCCCTCACTTTCCGCATCACCGCCAACTGAGCATTTCAGCCCCATGATCAGATGGGTGACAAATACCCTGTCTTCATTGTCTTCACATGAGTCTCACTGACTCCACAGGTCCCGCCCATCAGGCAGGAGAGGACTGAGCCTCATGGCTACTGGCCCTTCCCCATCTTCCAAGGCTTCCTGTTGCTCCCTCAGGACAAGGGTCTCGGACATTCCTGCATTATGTATGTGGTCTGGCAGCTTTCTGCCCTATGCTCCTGTGGAGCTGGGAGCCTTGGACGAGATAGTGTCTCATGTTGGGACCTCAGCCTTTTAAATATATTCAAGAGCCCTGAGGAGACCTGGCATCCTCCTGGGAATGCATACAGGGAGTGAGACACAGGTAACCCCTACCCACATGCTCCATGGACCTCAGATCTGTTCTCCATCCAAGAAAAACAACTGCACTCCCGCCTCACCTCCCTCACTCAGGGATACTGTGCACTACCTTTTCAATGGGCTTAAAAGAATGGAGGAAAAAATTGTCCTCAGACAACTTTAAACAGTTTTAAAATGGAAAACGTACTCTCAGGGACTTCCTAGACATTAAAAGAAAGCTCTAGGTAGCTCCAGGTAGCTAGAAAGTAGGAAGAGCCCACCTCTTCTTGGAATGGGGACGAACACACATGAACCCTTATCTTATGAAATCCAGCAGTCAGCTGCATCATGGTGTGTGTGAGTGAGAAGACCCCAGAATGAGACTACCTGGGTGAGCCTATGCCTAGTGCTCTCAGAGCCTCCCCTCTTCCCATCTATCCCTGCTCTGCCCTGTATCGTGGGTGTCTGGCCTCTGCAGGCTATGAGCCCAGGTGCATATGTCTCTGGCTTCTGACTTGGCTGGGCCAATGGGAACCCTGATGGGCCATGGGTGTGTGAAGGAGTCTGGCTAGGCTTCTTATCTCTCTTTGTTGGGCTGTCTTGCCTGGAGTGTCCTTCCTTCTACAAGCCAGCTCCTGCCACAAAGACCCACCCTGGTGACAGCTTCCCTCCAGTGAGTCTGATTCCTGGGCTCTGGTAACTGTCTCCTTCCTTATGCCTCTGAGAGGTAGTAGCCCCTTCCTGATGCTGTGGATGCCAGGGTTGCCTCAATGTCCCTTGTCCAACTTCTTGGTTCTTCTGCCATCTAGGAAGTCCCTGTAATTAAATTCTCTGTCTTTGAAAACTTAGGATGACTGTTTATCCTCACTGGATCCTGACTCAGCCACCTATGACTGTGTGGTTGTGGTCAAGCCTCTTTCTCCGGCTAGGCCTGTTTCCTCATCTGGAAGACTGGGCAATAATGGGTTCTTCCTTAGAGAACTCACCCCGGGGTGAGTTAAATAAGGTAATACTCAGAATTTGTTACTTGGAACTCATACAGTAAGTGGTAGTTCTTGGAGTCTGTACCAGAGGGTCCTGAACTGTGGGCCGAGTATGACCTTCAATGATGCCTATTCACTGGATTCAACAACCACCAATCACAGACTGAGGAAGTTGTTTACTTTTGAGGTGTTTTCTTTTTCCCTCTATTCTTCCAGATGCAAGAAAAGCTGTAGTCTGCTCCTAGTATGTCTTTAGAACTTGGAGGCTCCATGTCCAAGGGAGAAAGAGCAGGTTTCAGACTGAGAAAGCAGAGCCCGACTGTGTCGCTCTGTTTACATGGGGTGTGCTCTTACAGCCAGCTTCTACTGATGGCAGAGGATGCAGTTTTCCATTTCTGGAGGTGATAAAAGTTCTTTTAATAATAAATTCATTTAAGTTTTTTAAAAAAAAGATCAACTTGGAGAAACAGAAGCAAGAGTGCAGTTGGGTGGAGCTCCATGACCTGAGCTTGAAAGCCCTTCCCTGCAGACATGCTCTGGGGCTGGGGGTGAATCAGGACACAGAATGACAAAGACAGTTTCTGCCTTCAAGGAGGGCACAGTTCTCAGCCAAGTTCAACAGGAATAATATGACAGAACATAATTAAATAGCAACTAATTTGTTACAGATGCAAATTCTGTAAAAGTTCGAAGACGTGTGGGCCAAAGGGGTCAGGAGAAGGCGGGATGGAGGAGGCGACTTAACGGGAGGGACTCTGGGTGGTCGACACAGGTGCAGAGGAATGGGGACCTGGGTTAGGGGAGCTAGGCAAGGCGAGTGTGATGGTGTGGCAAAAATCGGTTTTGAGTTTCCGGGGTAGAGATCCAGGTCGGTGTCAGGGGTGCTGGGAAGGAAAACGATGACAAGCAAAGGGCAGGAAACGCAGAGTTCTGCGTCATTAAGCGTCAGTTTCTTGAGAGGCTGTAGTCCTCAAATAATTGTTTTTGGCTGTGGTGTACAGGCAGGGTCTGTGGCTGAAGCCCTGCAGAAGGAGGACAGGCCAGCTGGGAAGCTGGGAGGCTGATGCTGTCACCCTGGTGTGACCCTGTCCCTGAGGCAATAGAGCTGGGGAAGGGGCCAGGTGATCAGGGCTGAGGGCAACAGCGCCATCAGTCAGGGCACTCATAGGTTAAAGCCTCATCTGGGGACACAGTGAGGAGCTGACCTGGGAAGGAAGAGGCTACATAGTTTATATCAGATCATGCACATGTATGCATGCAGGCATGCATGTGTGCGCACGCACATGCACGCGCACTCTTCCTGCAGTTCCTCACCAGGAAAGGAGGTCATAGCTGAGTTGAAGAAAGTGAGGCAGGAGTGTTTTCTTTGCAGGAAACATTTGTGTGGAGGGGTCTCTCCCAAGGGTGCCCATATCAGGCCAAAGACTCGGGCTGTGGGATCCCTGATCCATCTGATCTCCTTTCTGCAGGAGCCTTGCTCTTCCCCACAGAGACGTGTTTGCATCTAGAGGGAGAATTGTGAGTAAAAGCAATGACTGCATTTTGCACATGTGGACTCCCCCATGGAAAAGTGCGGAGCCCAAGCCAGGCACAGGATCCGAAATGAAGGTGAGTCACAGGACCGTCGCACGCTCAGGCTGCCCTCAGAGAAATAGGTGATGGAGACTCTTCCTCTTTCCGCAACTAACAAGAATCCTATCTTAAAGAGAAGTGTTTCCTTTTGTGAGTGTGTGAGACAGAGTCTCACTGAGATGTCGAGGCTGGAGTGCAATGGCGCGATCTCGGCAACCTTGGCTTTGCTTCTCAGGTTCAAGCTATTTTCCTGCGTCAGTCAGCCTCCCAAGTAGCTGGGATTCCAGGTGCGCGCCACCATGGCTGGCTGATTTTTGCATTTTTAGTTGATACAGGGGTTTCACCATATTGGCCAGGCTTGTCTCTAACTCCCAGTCTCAAGTGATCCACCCACTTTGGCCTCCCAAAATACTGGAATTACAGGCATGAGCCATTGCACCCAGCCTGTTTCCTTTTTTAGTTTTAAATTTGGCAGTCAGAATTTTATATGTTGCTGCAAAAGACATGAAAAAATCGGAAGAATCGCATAAGATCGCTCCCTGCTGTGCTTGCTGTCGCTTGGCATCTATCAGGGGCACCGATCTTCAGCGGTGGCGGTAACTTCATGGCCCGCGCTCCTCAGTGAGGCCACACACGTGCAGTGCAGTTGCACCATGCAACGCAAATGTGCAACATTTACCCAACAAATGCACCTCTTTTCCAGAAACTGTACACCGTAGACATTGAAAGGAATGCTGGGACCTCCAAAACCTGCAGTTGCATTTCTGGTAGATGGCAGCTCACTGTCATCCTGCAGACACAGATGAAACCGCAGGACGGGGTCCGAACCGGGAGCACTAGCAAGTTAACAGCACCAACATCCAGCACAGCAGAATCTCCTGGTCGCAGGGAGCAAGGAGCAAAAACACGGCCAGAAACAGCTTCCCAGATGTTCAATGAAGGACATTTAAACGAGACATTCACCATCTGGTTAATAACACAGCACTGAGCGGGACTTAGTAACGATATCCCAAGACTTAAATCCATTCTTTTCCCTGAGCATTAAACTGCTTCTCCATTTGCCCTATGAAAACAGGCGATGAATAAATGTTTGTTCAACCTCATCCCTGTCAAAGTCATTGGTCTTTAGAAAAAAAATATGTGTATATATATATATATATATATATATATATATATATACACACACACACACACACACACACACACACACACACACAGTTTATATACATACATATGAAGTGTCTTCACTGTGGGCTCAACAAAACTCTCTGTAGCGCATGTGATGATCGGCCTTTGCCACAGCGCACAGGAGACAGGAAGTCAGAGCTGCCCATGAATTCCCCACCTTGTTAATTTTATCAAAGCACAGATAATCTGAAAACAGGAAAGATGCTATAAATGGTGGTTCTGTTTGTGGATCCATCTTGCAGCTGGTGTGACCAGTATCTACCCAGCCAGAGGGCAAGAGAGGGAAGGGCTTGAGATGTCTCTAAATTCCTCTCTTCCTTTGCTTTCTAAGTCCTTATCCTGCTGGGCTTGCAGCCTGCTTTGGGGTCCTTCAGGCCCCCCATCCACCCTGTAGGCCAAGTGGTGCTGAACCTTTCACTGTGGGCTTGCGGTCATTCTGGGGCCACTGCACTTCCAGGAGCTGCAGCCTTGAGAGGGTCCTCAACGTGGCTCACCCACCCCTCACCCACTCTTCCCCCTCCACACAGGCCCTTGCACCGATGGCTCAGAGTGGACAAGGAAGGTGACGTGGAATGTGCATGAGAGGTGTGTGAGCAGAGCCCAGCGCCCAGAGTGAAACAGGAACGAGGAAGGGAAAGGGGACTCATGCAGCCACCCTGAGATGACAGATGCTTTTGGGCAAACAGGGCCAGTGGTCACTCCCCATGTAAGCACTGGCCATTACTGTGGTTATCTGCATCGTCATTCCCTCACATCTCCTGCCCATGCCTGCCCCATCCTGCTGCTCACTGAGCATGGTCTTCACCTCCTGGGGGAAACAGAAGCTGGGGCTGGAGGGGCCCCACACCTGCCTGTGGCTGCCAGCACCCCCTGCTCCCTGTGTGAGCCCTTCCTCCCACCAGCTCCGCTCTCCAGCTCTGCGCCACCAGCACCTCAGGCAGGTCCCCGTGGCCCAGTCTAGGATCGATTGGGAGACAAACGGGCATCAGCCACTCAGAGGATGGGAGCCTTGGGCCGTGACTTAGCTTCTGCTAGTGACTGCTCCCTAAACTGCACAGGGAGGATGACGGTGGGGACTGCCTCATCGTGGCGGGGGCGGATTTCAAGTAATTGGAGGAGCACCTGGCTTCAGGGAAAGCTCAATAAACACGAGCTGCAGGCCCCACCATCTCTGCCCCGGGAGCGCCTCTGGGTTCTGACTTGTCCCCCACGTACCTGGCTGATGGTATTTTATGTCCTCCTCTCCACTGCTCTATGCTGTAGCTCCTCCACTCCTGCCCCTGGGCTTGGTGCTTGGGATACAATCGGGGCCGATTCATCCACAATTCCTGACCTCGGGGCTGTACATATGGCAAAGGAACAGATGGGCAGTGGGTAGGCAGGCATCTAATCTCGTAAGAGGGAACATGCGGGACGGTGGGTCCAGAGAGGGATTCCGAGGGGGAGATGATCCACTTTGAGGCAAAGAGAAGAAGCAAAACCTTTCTAGGAGGATTGAGAAAGGATTCCAGCAAATGCATGGAAGCCAGATGGGAAGGATCCTGGCCCACTCAAGGGCAAGCGAAGGATAGAGAGGCCGGGCCTGAGTGAGCGTGTGGGAGCAGGGAGGAAAGCAGCCCTCTGTGTCTTCATTGGGGTTTCCGACACCTGCAGGGTGTCTGGAGGTGGACACAGAGGAGCACCAAGGCCCACAGCAGTGGACTGTGCCATGTCATGCTGGAGAGGTGGCTGAAGGGCAGCTGCTGTGTGGCTGGAAGGAAGGCGGCCACACTCTGGACCGACCAGCCTTGGACAAAACCACCAGAGCCGTGGCCTTCTGGAGCCAACCTTAGGGAGGGTGGGAGCACGAGAATGCATGGCTGGGTTCCCATTTCTCATCAACCCCAGAGCTTGATCTGACCGAGAAAAATGAAGGGAGCGGCATGTCTCACTCCCACATCATGGCACACACTCTGACCCAGCTCCTCTCCAATCACCCGATGTGGTCACCTGTGGTCACTCTACCCCATCCCTGGGTTTCTTCCTCCTAGTGGTTCCCCAAATCCTGCCAATCTCATGAAGCCACCTCCAGTTCGCCTCTTTTACAAAGTCTTCTCGGCCCCTGTAGCCACACTGGCTTCTCTAGTCCTTGAGACTGTGGTTCACACCATGTTAACATTAATCCTGAAACACACCATCCCCATCTGCAGGTATCCAGCGTGTGTGTTCTCATTCCTACCGAGAACGTAACCACAGATGGGGCCTCAGACAGGAACTCAAAAAACGTGGGTCTAATTTCCAAAGTGTAATCCACAGGGTAACGATCCACTATATACTTTTATGGACAGAAGAGAACTGTCTGCAAAACACTGATAATCATTTTAAGCTGCATTCATTCATTCATAAGCTCATTCATTTATTCATTCTGCAAGTATTTTTTATACATCTATTACTCTCCAGTCATCACAAGTAAGATGTTTTTGATAAGAAGATGACTTTTAAACTGAAAAGAAGTATGAAGGAAGTTTGGGTTTTTTTTAAAGTGGATGGTATTTTGAAACACTGCCCTCTGTATCTAATTTCTTACTACCCCACACATCTAAGCCAGCCAAAGCACTGTGACTGACCAGGGAGCCTGCCCAGGCATGGCACAGAACCTGGCATGGTCTGGGCTGCACAGCTGCCAGCTTGCCACAAAGCAGCTCCCACCGGGCTGCTCACTTCAGAGCTTTGAGGACATTTTGTTCGTTTGTTTTGAGCGGCATGTCTCACTCCCACGTCATGGCACACACGTGGACAACATTGCTCTGTTGTCCAGTCTGGAGTGCAAAGTTCAGATCTCGGCTCACTGCAACCTCCACCTCCCAGGCTCAAACGATTCTCCTGCCTCAGCCTCCTGAGTAGCTGGGATTACAGGCACACACCATCATGCCGAGCTAATTTTTGTGAGACAAAAATACACCATGTTGGTCAGGTTGGTCTTAAACTCCTGACCTCAGGTGATCCACCCACCTTGGCCTCCCAAAGTGCTGGGATTACAGGCATGAGACACTGTGCCTGGCCAGGGCTTTGAGGATATTAAGGCAGGAATCAGGGGAGTCAGGCCTGGAGTCATCTCCATTCTAAAAGGAAACAGCAGGATTCAGAAAAATCTTAGGAAATCCTTAAAATAAACAGGCTCCATCCTGATCTTCAAATGCAACCCTCCTTCTGAATAAAACATTTCTTTCCCTTGTCGCCCTGCCCTACCTCCTCACCTCCCCACCATCTTCCTAAACAATTTCCCTCCTCCGCGTTCTATGTAATCATCAAATGCCTGTGCTGGCCCTGGGCTTCCCCGTCGTGCATGCGCCTCCCCACTGGCCTCGGCCTCACGTAAATATTTAATACTCTTTGTTTAGGATCTGCCACTATGCATCCTACAGTCATTCAGAGTATGTTCTGATTAATGTGTAGTTTGTCAATAGTGCCTGTGCCAAAGAGTAATTTTGGGTCCTAAAAGATCCAGCCCCTTTCATGCACTTAACTTTTGTTTTGCTTGTAATAGATTTTTACTCTAAAAAATACAGAAACTGTAGACAAGCCAAGGAAACTGTTCCCTACAATCCCAATGGTCTAGAGCCAGTCACCATCAGGGAGACTCTGGAGGATGATTCCACAGAACGCAGTGGTCCAAAATGCAGTTCTTTTTCTTTTTTTTGAGATGGAGTCTCACTCTGTCACCCAGGCTAAAGTGCAGTGGTATGATTTTGGCTCACTACAACCACTGCTTCCTGGGTTCAAGTGATTCTCCTGCCTCAGCCTACGGAGTAGCTGGGACTACAGGCATGTGCCACAATGTCCAGCTGATTTTTGTATTTTTAGTAGAGACAGAGTTGTACCATGTTAGCCAGGCTGGTCTTAAACACCTGATCGCAGGTGACCCACTGGCCTCGGCCTCCCAAAGTGCTGGGATTATAGGTATGAGCCAATGTGCGAAGCTGCAAAATAGTCCTTACAAAGGAAGAAACATGCCAGCTCATGCCAGCTCATGCCAGCTCATGCGCTCCTCTTTTAACCAGGAGCCATAACCTTCCCCTCACGAAATTTTTGTTCCTATTTGCTGAATCCCTGGAATAAATACGTAAAAGGAGGAATTCTGGGTCCAGATGTAGGCCACTTTAAATGGATTTCACTGCAAATTGTCACATTGTCCTCCAGGACCTTGTTCCAATTAACACCCTCGTCAGCTGTGAGCCTTCCGATTTTCTTCTGTTTGCCTCATACTCAGCTCACCCTCCATGGCCTTGCCGGCAGACGTAAGAAATGATGCCATCTTATTCCCATTTTCCCTCTTTTCCGTTAAATGCCAGTTGATGTCTGGAGAAGGCTTTTCTAAGGCAAATCCACGTAAAGAAGGGGTCAGGTTAACAGTCGACAGAAGCGGCAGTGGCTCTTTCACGAGTTTAGGGACACACACGACGGATCGTGTGCCATATTCCACGCACGACCCCCTCCTTGTCCCCAAAGCTTAGACATCAGTGATGAGCTTAGATGGCAGACGAGGGCTGAGTGTTCTCTGTACAGGGCATTTGCAAAGCCATCTATTTCTCTTCCAGAATGACGAATTAAAAATGAAAACCGTAGCCGGTTTGTTGATTGGAGCAGTCCTGGTGGTGCCCACTCTGTTCCGGGGGCTCTTCTATCAACTTTCCAGTCTAACTGGGGCGGAAGGGTGAGAGGCGAGCAAGCAGATCAACAGAGGTGAAAATGCAAACAGGATGCCATGAGAAGTACCGGGGTGGCTGGAACTGGGAATGTTTCTTTTCTTGTCAAGCAAACGGTGGTTTTTAATGAATTTATCGAGCTGATCAGTGAACTCAGTAAATATTTACACAACATCTATTTTTATGTTCCAGGAACAAAAATGAACAAGGCTTGGCCTCTTCCCTAAGAAGAGCTCTAATCTGAGGTGTAGAGAATGGGGAGAAAGTAGAAACTGAAGAAGTACTTTTGCTTCTCTGACTGAGTAGTAGCTTTTGCCGGGCTGCTCCCTCAGGGCCCCGCACTCCCGTCCTCTAATGACTGTGTGGCAATCAAGGTAGACAGTCTCCACTTTGCAAAGAAAGCTGGGGCTCCTGGGAGGTGAGCCTAGCCCAGGGTGACCGTGTTGGTAAATCACCCAGGGGGTGTACACGCAAGACCTTCTGATGCCAAAGCTCGTGTTCTGGCCACTACCCCCTCCCACTTGGAATGGAGTGAAGAACTGGGAGAAGAAAAGGCATTGTGGAGAGGGAGGGAGAGGTGAGGCAGCCATTCGGTTGATTGCACAAACTGAATCTAATATTCAAGACTGTCTGCATCAGGCCAAAACAACCCACCGTGTATCCCAGGCCAACAGTCCGCCGTGTCCTGGGGAAATAGTCATTAAATCCATGATCTGGTGTTGAGAGCTCAAGCCTGGCCTCGTGCTTGCATGCTTTGCTTTGCTTTGCTTTTTTTTTTTTTTTTTTTCATTTTCCATTTTCATCTGGCTCTGTGGATGCTTGGGGTGACTGGGCTTCAGGTCGGCACGTCTGGAGCAGACCTAACACCACGGCACATCTTCTGCACAGCACAAAGGTCTGATTTATTAATTATGCTCTCCCCTGAGGGAACAGAAACAAGGGCACTTTGGAAGGCAAAGACCAATGCTGCTGCTGAAATGATGAGGCCTGGAGAAAAGAAGCCGAAGCCAGAGAGTGAGAGAGAGAAACATGCAGTCCTGAAACCCTGAACAGAAAATCCTCATTACGTCGTCTCTCAGCCTGATGCCAACTGGATTTTTCTCTAGACGTGCTGGGACTGACGTCAGCTTCTGTCTCAACTGCCCCCTGAGTATGCCAAGGCTCTTTTCTTTTTCTGTTGGCAAGTTTATCTGGAGACCACACATGCTTCTTGTAGGCCCCTAGAGCAGTGCCCTGGGATTTCCAGGTTGGTCCGAAGTTACTGATGAAGAAGACAGGCAGATAAACAGCAGGTTGCACCACTTGCTAGCATCTCTCTGTGTCTGGTCTTCATAAGAGAGTGGGGATGAGGGAGGGAGGGAGGGATGGAGGGAGGGAGAAAAGTGGAGCAGAGAAGTGAGGAGGGAGCAGAGCGAAGGGGAGTGAAGAAGAGATGTCCTCCAAAGAGTGGTGGCTTCAACCAGGGCTTAACGACCCATCACATGGGGCAACTCCAGGTTCTGTACAGAAGAGCTCCACGTTCACCGGTTTTGAGCATATAGATACTTGAACAGTGCTTATTTTCTATACCACTTCATCCACAAAGAAGGCCACCCTCAAATTCAGGCTCTCCTCCAAGCAACTATTGAGGCATCCACTTGATGAGGGGGTACATGTGCAATTTATGACTTGCTGTCATAAATCCTGTGGGTTTGTTTGAAGGAAATTAAGTGAAATCGGCTGGTCCACAGACACTGTGCCAATGGCATCCGAGATGTAAGCGCCACGGGGACCAGAAATGAACCTCAGCCCTCCCGTTACTCTCCCAGCAGAAAGAATGGGCTTGGGTGTTCACGGAACAAGCAGAGTGTGCTCTGGGCACCTCTAGGGACCAAGCAGGTCCTGTGGCCTCTCCCCCTCGTCCCGCCACACGAGCCCTCAGCCTGGCCGGCAGCGTTCCTTGTGATTTTGAAGAGCTTGACCTCAGCAAGCTCGCCACTGATTAATGGGAACACCTCAGGTGATAAACTATGTATACTCACAGGGGTTTTATTTTAAAAGGGCTCTGTAACATAAAATGATGACTATATTAATTTCGGGTTTGTACAGTTTCAATATGCATATGGACAAAGACTGGAAGAAAACAATACCAAAAAATTCTCACATTGGGGTGAGGCGCTGACTGTGCAATTCTGTCACCTTGTATTGAATGTCTATTAGACCTGAGCAAAGGGTTAGGGATTCAAGCAGGGCAGCTTCCCATCTGCTAGTAGACAGCACATCCTCATCCTGTATGGATGATCGCACGGATAACTATGGAGTTACCCATGGTGATGCACTACAGTAGTTCGTTCGCATTGCAATAAAGGAATACCTGAGACTGTGCGATTTATGAAGAAAAGAGATTGACTCGGCGCATGGCTTTGTAGGCTGTATGAGAAGCATGGCACCAGCGTCTGCTTCTGGGGGCCTCAGGAAGCTTCTAATCATGGTACAAGGTGAAGGAGGAGCCAGCATCTCACTTGGCCAAAGCACAATCAAGAGAGAGAGGGAGGTGCCAGCCTCCTGTGAACTCACAGAGTGAGACCTCATTTATCACCATGGCGATGGCCCAATCGCTTCATGAGGGATCTGCCCCCATGATCCCACACCTCCCGCCAGGCCCCGCCTCCAACATTGGGGGGGCACATTTCAGCATGACATTTGGAGGAGACAAAGAGCCAAGCCATACCGTACCAGCAGGAAAGGAAGTCCTGGTTCCCGTGAGTGCACCCGGAACCATTCTTGAGCCTGCGTGGGTGGGAGTGAAGAGCGCCTCCTCCTGCAGGCAGTGACACTGGAGGTGAAGTTTGAGGAAGGTGCCAGGACAGGGGGAGGAGGCTGGAGTGTTCCGTGTGCTGAGGAGGAGCCACGGGGTCCCAGCTGAGGCAGAGTGAGGGACTGCACTTGTGGAGGTGGCTGGAAGCACCATCTGGCCTGGAAGTCTGGTCTTGTTCTAGAGCAAAGCAGAACCACAGAAGGCTTTGCTCATTTGTTTGCTAACAGATTTCATTTTTTGCAACAGTTTAGGTTCAAGGCCATATTGGGCAGAAAGTACAGAGATTTCTTTTCTTTTCTTTTCTTTTTTTTGAGATGGAGTTTCGCTGTTGTTACCCAGACTGGAGTGCAATGGCACGATCTCGGCTCACCGCAACCTCCGCCTCCTGGGTTCAAGCAATTCTCCTGCCTCAGCCTCCCAAGTAGCTGGGACTGCAGGCAAGCACCACCATGCCAGGTAATTTTGTATTATTAGTAGAGATGGGGTTTCACCTTGTTGACCATGATGGTCTCGATCTCTTGACCTCGTGATCCACCTGCCTTGGCCTCCCAAAGTGCTGGGATTATAGGTGTGAGACACACACACACACACACACACACACACACACACAATGTCCCTGTTATCAAAATCCCCACCAGAGTGGAACACTTGTTACAATCAATGAACCTACACTCATGCCTTACTATCACCCCAGTTTGCAATGCACACTGGGGCTCATTCTTGGTGGTATACATTCTACGAGTTTGGACAAATGTAGGACAGCAGGTGTCCACCATTATAGTATCACACAGAATATTTCCACCACCCTAAAAGTCCTCTGTGATCTATTTATTCCTCCTTCCCCACCGACCTCTGGAAACCACTAATCTTTTTCCGGTCTCCATGGTTTCAGTTTTGCCAGAATGTCACATAATTGAAATCACACAGTCTGTAGTCTTATCAGATTGGCTTCTTTCACTGAGTAACATGCATAATCTCTGAATGGCTTGAGAGCTCATTTCTTTATCATGCTGAGTAATATTCCATTGCCTTGCTATGCCACAGTTTATTTGTTCATTCATCTGCTGAAGAACATCTTGAATGCTTCTTTTGAAGGTTTTTTGGAAAGGGAGTGAAATTCTTTAACATGGCCTTGATCTGTTTGTAGTTGTCTCCAAACCCCCTCTTAAGACTTTTACAATGCTAGTCTCCCGATATGTTTAGGATAATTATGACCATAATAGAGTTATCTATAATAGTGCTTTATAAAACACCAGACATAAAGTCCCACGTGCACACTGGTTACGAGCATAAAATCTGCAGAGGGTGGATAAATCCTGGAGGGTGCGTGCAACCTGAACATGGCCACTTGTGTGAGGTGTAGGATCACAGGGGGTGTTTGCCTCTCAAAATTGTTTCCGTATTTTCCTGTATACATAATTTGGATGGACATAAGCAAGTAAGAGGAATCTACAGGTCTGAAGGCAGATGACTACATCTGTAAGGTCTCTATCCAGCCCTGTCACTTACGTAGTGAGAACTTCCCTGGGTACTAAAACAAGTACTCACCTCATTTTCTTCACCTAAGAAAACACTATCCAAAAAATTTATGCTGCATATTTGGGAAACAGATATAGGACCCTCAATTTGTATAACTGGTTGAAAATTGCTGATGGGAGAATTTGAATGTCACCATAGCAACCAGCATGGAAAGGCCTTCTGATGCCCATGCCTGCTCCTTCCCTGGGTGCCCAACTCTATTCCGTGGGCTCTGCGCTGGAGACATGCTTGTTAAAGAGAGGAGCAGATGTTGCGGTTCAAGTGTGATGGGAGGAGAAGCAGCACAGAGCTCATGGGCCACCTCTCTCTGGAGCTGGATTTAGAACATGCCCATTAGTAGAGACGTCTGTGGTTTTCAAAGTGCCCACATGCACACTCAGTTATGTGACCTTCACACAAATTCATTTTGGTGTCCGAGGACTCCAATTTATAGAGGGGAAAATTGAGATTAGGTGCTTTGCTGAGGTTCTCAGAGCCAAGGAGAAGAGCTTGGGTGGGAGCACTGGCTTCTGAGGACCAGGTGGCTGCCCCTTCTTGCCCACCTGACTGGCCGCACCATCTCCCCTTGCACTTACCTCACAGGTGGAGCCCACACACCCAGACAGGTGTCTGCTGGAGACTTACCAATGAGGGTGGCTCATTTCGTGTGCAAATTCATAGATCTAGTTCAAGGTAAAGATAATCCACAGCTAAGGGAAACCTTAACAGTAGTTTTAGAGCAAGGCTAATTGAAATATATTGTCTATTTCGAGCTGGAAATTCCTTTGAAGGATTAATTTTAAGAAACTTAATTGCAGTATAAAACTTAGTAAAGAAACTCAAAGTATACAGTTTCATGAGTGTTCACATAGTGAAGGCACACATTTACCCCCGACGCTGGATCAAAAAGCAGAACATTCTTGGCCTCGGAAGAGCCCTTCCCGTCCCCTCCCAGTCACCACACCCTTCCTCTCCCCGCAGGAGCTGCTATCCTGGCTTCTTACATCGTAGGGTTTTTTGTTGTTGTTTGGTTTTGGGTTTTCTTTGACCTAGTTTAAACTTTGTGCAAACGGAACCTGTATTCTTTTCTTGTGACTTCTATCTCTTTGTCAGTATTGTGTCTGTGATATTCATCCGCGTTGTTGCATATCAGTGGTTTATTTCTTTTCATTGCCATATGGTTTCCCATTGTGTGTACGTGTGTGTATGTCTGTGTGTGTTGAAATGTATTCATCTATGCTACTAACTATATTTGACTTTCAAAATTGCTTCCACATTTTCCTGTACACGTAATTTGGAATGGAGATAAGTAAGTAAGAGAAATCTACAGCTCTGAAGGTGAATGGCTATGTCTGTAGGGTCTCTAGCCTGCTTTGTAACCTACATTGTGAGACCAGGGCACCAAATAACAAACCCTCACCTCATTTTCTTCACCTGAGGACATATTCTCCAGGAACTCCACGCTGCATGTTTGAGAAGCAGATACAATGGTCAGTGGGCGTGTAGGGTTCTAGTTGTTAATACCATGAATGGTGCCATGAATAAACTTGTATGTGCCTTGTAGGGCACACGCGTTCACGCCTAGCTGGGTAGATCAGTGGGGTAGGAGAGACGGGGCTGGGGTCAGCACACCATGTTGAGCCAGTTATCAGGGAAGAGGCAAGCAGACGTGGAGCAGGCAAGGACAGGAGGAGGAGCAGTCAAGGCAGAAGAAAACGTCTCTGCATCTTTGAGCCTCTGCTCTCCCGGCTCCTACTTTCCCTGCACTGCCGTACCGGGCTAAACTCTCCAAATCACTCCTCGTATTAATCAGCACAAACAGCCCCCAAATCTCTCAGTGGTGTACAATAGCAGCTTGTTTTTCCCCTCCTGTTACGTGTCCAGCATGGTCAATAGTGACGCTGTCTTTCTCAATCTCTATGGAACCCTGATTGAAGGAGGAGCCACCTTGATCGCCATGGCAAGGCAGGTCCACAGCCACACCCAGCCTACATGGGAGCAGAGAAGCGGAGCTGCACTCTGGAGAAGAATGTTTGTCAGTGTCTCTAATAACTATCGTGTCCCTGACACCTGGGGTGGAATTCATGAGCTCCAAGAGCATTTTATACCTGTGGCTGCTCTAAATACTTCCCGTGTTGAACTGCCCTTCTGGAGGTCCCTGACACTAAATTCCTGAGACCGGGGGAGGAGTATTTATCTGCCACTGTCTCTAACCTCGGTCCTGACAGAGGCGCAGAGCAGGTGCTCAGATGTGCGGAAAAAAGAAACTCTTTTTACCTACTAAAACCTCTCCTTATCTGGGATTTTTACAATGTGTATTTATAACTGCAAATAAATTAGTCTTTCCTCTCCTGGATTTCCTGGAAAAAAAAAAAAAAGACATGTTTTGGGAAATTACTATGACTCCAGAAATCCCAGGGTAGCTATGGAAGACTCATCACATGTAACTGGACAGATGGCCAGGAGAGTTAGGAAATAAAAATCTTATCATCAGCAAACCTGCTGTCAACTTGCTAACGGGAGACAGGTGATGGAAACAGAGAGCAGGAGTGCCGCGGCCTCTTCCCGGCTTCAGGTCTCTGCACTGTGCTCACTTGACTTCCGGAAACACTGAGTGTGCTGTGCTCAGTTATCGGGATAGCGTTTGCATGACTTTATACAAACATATATTCAACTTCATATTTTAATAAAGCTTCGTCTTTGCTAAAACATAAAGGCTGACTGTCCATATTCCTTAAAAAGTATAAGGACGTCCTGGAGGCATTAAGACCTCCATAATTTTCCTTCTTGGTTTGCTGTTTTCACAGCCCGGAGGAGCAGATGGGAGTGATTAATGAATTCCATTAACAACGGTAAATTTTTAACAAGGAAACCTCCCTTCCCCTCGATTCACTCCCTTAATCTCCTTATCAAATTAGTGCCTTTATTTTCACAACAAAAATGATATTCCTCCCCGGTAGTTCATTTGTAGTTCAAGCCCTGGTGGGATTTTAATTTACTCCTACTGCTCGTCAAGAAGAATCTGAACATCACGTGACGCATTTGCACAGCTACTTATCTGGGCCATACGTGTTCATGGGGATGAACTTGACAACTGTATGACCCAACAATGTTTTTGATTCCTTTATTTGTTTGCACACACACACACACACATGCACACACATACATACATACACACACATACATACGCGCACACACACATACATACACACACATACATACACACACATACACACACATACATACACACACATACACACACACATACACACACACATACACACACATACATACATACATACACATACATACATACACACACATACACACACATACATACACACAT